TTTCTAAGTTGTTTGTCAAGTTGGTTAGTGTTTTGATGCGGCTTTGTGTTTGATAGTAAATTTTAAAGAAATTTACGAAATTTTATTCGTGGTAAGTACATTTGATATACTTTTTTTTATTTATTTCATATTATTATATTATGATCTCCAGTTTCATAATAAATTTTTAAATATAAGTTGCCCTTAAAATAATATGGAAACTAATGCTCATAAAAAACCTCTGAAATTTAAACATTGATTATGGAACTGGATTAGGTATTTGTAAAATAAATATATATGCATCTTATTTTCTTGTAGCAGAAAATGTCAAAAAGTTGCGCCATTAGTGGATGCGTACAAAGGTATGGAAGTTTCTACCGATTTCCAAACCCACAAATGTATCCAGAAATATATCAAAGATGGGTTTTATGTTGTGTGCGAGAAAACCTGCTTCAGTGTGAACACTTGAGGGTTTATAATAATTTTCGAGTTTGTGATAAGCCTTTTCGACGAGAGGATGTTGGACGTAACAACAAATTGTTGAAAGGAGTAGTACCATCATTAAATTTGCCAGTGTGTGTATAAAATTATCAAAATGTTGTTAGGACTGAGGCATTTTTTTTTTCACATGTAGGATATCAGTACTTAGAAGTCAGTACTTCAAATGATTCGAATAACACGCCCACTACTCCACATGCAGATATGAGACTTTAGGTTGCTTCAACATCCACCAGTGCAATCTCATTGGAGACTTCAGGTAAGAAATTATGTGTTTTATAAATCGTTTATTTTGAAAAGCTCTGGTTAAATTATCTATAATGGCATATAACTCTTAATAAGAGTTATTTATTAATAAACGAAACATCATTCAAAAAACGTTTAATTTCCCTTTTATTACAAAAGAATGTAGTATAATTTTTTTAAAGTTTGATTTCATATTACAGGGTAACCCCGCTTAATGGGGAAACAGCGTTAATCGGGATCATTATTGGATATTTTTTGACAGCTAAACAAAGGGAGAGTTTATTGGAGGAAGTTGATGTCTACAAACAAGACGACTTATCACCAAAAGCCCAACATTTATACAGGAAAGCAGTGATGTATAAGAGGAAATTCCAGCGCCAGAGTATAACATCCTAAAGAAATAAAAGAAAATTATTACCAAAGAGACAACTTTTTAAGCAGTCAATTTCAAGTTTAGACACAATATTGGCAATTTTAATAAAAAGATTATTAAAATCAACACACAAAAAAATTAGAAAATATAAAATTTTAGATTTATCACGTTAGCCGCTATTTAATATTAGTACTGGGCTGAGCCGTTCGGAGCGCTGGTGCCGTGTACAAAAATTTTACGTAAATGTCACATCTATATAAGTTATCTATGCACGAAACTGTGGAATTGTCAATAACCTAACCTTCAAATTCAAAATCAAAATTGCCTGTGTGTGAACCTTCCTCGCATTCAACCAATCACGTGCAAGGTCAATCTGGTGACAAATTTAAAATACTCCTCCTGGTTTAAAAACAGAGTATAGTATAGAAACACATACAGGGTGATTTATTTAATAAATAATAATTAAAGATTTTTTTAATATTTTTAAAAATTAATTCGTAAATAATAAAAACCGTCCGAACGTAAATTAACATTTTCCCCTATTACAATGGGATAACCTGTTACTAAATGTCTTCCTATCAAATTTTCATTAATACTTCTTTTCCAAACTTCAATACTTTTTGAATGACTACAAAACACTAAAAGATTTTTTTAAATTATTTTCTCTAATGTTGTTTAAATTGTAAACTTACAAAATCGATGGATATCTTCGCATCTCATCGATCGCATTATATCGTATATAGTTGGACACCCCTCTTGAAAAATACCGTTGTTTACGAAAACATCAACAGTTCCACACGGTCCGTAATAACCAAAAAAAAAATTGTTTGTGTGTATAGCATCAACGAAATTGGCATCGTTTCTATCCAATCTATAAGACTCGGTGTTAAAGTTAAATATGGGTCCCGCCGCGTCTAAAGCGGATATCCTTCCGATTCGACGATACAACCTCTTCATAACTCTTTGGCCGGTAAATCCGGCGATTTGAGCGCCAAGCGAGTGCCCGATAATGTGAATTTTGTTCAAATCGAGCTCAAGGGTTATTACTAAATCGGAAATAAAATCCCCCAAGTTCTTACCCAATTCCCGACAGAGTTCCGTACTGAAAATATAGTGCATGTACGAGTATTGGTCCCAATTGAACACTATAATGTTGTAACGAGACTTTTTTAAGTAAATGTCTCGCATTTCGAGGATCCATTTAATATTATATCCCTCCAGCCAGCCGGATATAAAAATTTTCGTTTCAATCGTAGGATCAATTAAATGCCTTGTTGTTTCGTTTATAACAATTTCTTCGTTTGGGTTGTTGTTTGTAAATAAAATGTATTCTAAATCGTCTGAGTAAACGTCAACACCTTGTATAAAATTTAAAGGGTTTAATAACTCCGTTAAAAGTTTATTTAAATCATCTTGGCACGTTTCTTTAGAAAAATTATATGAATCAACTAAAATAAAGATTATTATAAAATTAACCTCGGTTAATTTTAGATTTAATTGTTTAAAGTTATTTTAAAATCCTCTTTTTATTTTTTATAAATAAATGTTTAAGAAAAAAATAATTGCAGTTAATTACCGTTTAAAATGTAGAAATTGATTGAAATCACTGTTAAACACAAAACCAACATTTTTATTTAAGGTACAAAATTGATATGACATGAAAATTGTTTGAATTCAAATATCGTGGTGAGATGGGGAAGGCCAACGGGTGACGTAAAAATTAGGAATGGATATATATGTGGTTGTCGGTTCAAAGTGCATAAAATAATTTATAAATAATACCTGTTTTAAATGACCCACAAAATTTTCTTTGAAACGAGCACAAACAAGACAGATTCATTTATAACAATAACAGGGATATAACTTTCGATTATCAAGGTTAGCTTTAACATTAAAGTAATCTTTAATGTTAAATAATTAATTAATATGTTTAAATTAAATTAAAAAAAATTGTAACTCAAAAACTAAAAGTAATTTTCAAAAACGGGTTTTACCATTAAAAAGATGACACTTTTCTTAATAAGTAGACCAACTTTCAGAGTAATTGAATCAGAAACCTCAAATTGTATGATTATGTTTAAATTTTTTTTATCTCTGAATGTAGTTAAAATTTTCAAATTGGGATTTCACCATGATAAAATAGATAGGTAATTTTCTTTATACAGGGTGTCTCAGCGAGACCGGTCATTAGACGTTTCTGGGGTTCTGGCGAAAATAAAAATTTGAGAATTCAGACTTATGTATTATTAATTACAATCTCTTCGTCTAAAATATTTTCAGATTTCTTGCACTTCCGGTTATACCGGAAGTCGCCACCAACTTTATTTTTTTAAATGGAACACCCTGTATATTTTTACATATTTGGATTTGTCTGTTTTCAAGGTTTATAAATAACTTTACTTTTTGCAATTTGATTCGGTCGTTCTCGAGTTATTCGAATTTTTCTAGAAAAATCTGCTCCAGCAGACATTTGTTCAAAAAATCAGAAAACACTCAATTTTTGGGATATCAATTTAGGATTGAGAACATGCTTAAGCAACATGATGGAGTATGTTTTGGTGCCGAGAACTGCGGTCTAGAACGTTTGATCACTTTACTATGGCACGTTAACTTTTCAAAATTTGGAAGTACCATAACTTCATTTTTTTAAATGGCACCCCCCATATTTTATTTTTTAGTCGTCTTCGGTGTCTCATTCTACATCTTTTATATCCCATATGGCCCATACCTAATATTAATAGTTTGGGAGATAATTAGGGTTTTTTGAAAAATGCACACATATCATATGGATATTTAGCCTAGTGTGCCATGAAAAACAAGCCTTCTCAATGAGTTCTTGTCAAAGACTCACTTGTTTACGTCACTTGATGCATGTGAGCTAATAATTATCTGTTATGTCCCTTAATATTAGTACTGAAACGAGTTAAAATCGATAACAATAACGAAAGTAATATTTACACAAATCAAGAAATTCTTAATTTATTTTTTTTGCATGAAAAGCGCGACAAAGTTCGTAGTATGATTCCCAGATCTTCTTTGGCAGCTCGAATTGAGGTGTTGGGACTGGGCTCGAAATAAGCCAAGGTATTCACCTCTTCCGTTGCATTATCTACTACATTTTTTGGTCAGTTTAACACGTGATTAATTCGTCCAAAATGCAAAAAATTTGCTTCTATTCCTCTAAATTTACCTTTTGTCATCGGAGATAAATGTGGATAATTTTCATTAAACATTCTGCAAGTTCTACTAAGAACTTTGTCGCACTTTTCGTGCACAAAAAATAAATTATGGATTTCTTCATTTGTATAAACATTATTTACGTTATTAATATCCATTTTAACTGGTTTTAGACTCACAAGCATCAAACAACCTAAATTAGACTTTGACGTTTATCAATAAGTCATTAAACATTTGTTTTCCATGGCACACTAGGTTAATATCCATATGATATGTGAGCATTTTTCAAAAAACCCTAATTATTTCTCAAACTATTAATGTTAGGCATAGGACATATGGAATATAAAAGATGTAAAATGAGACGCCGAAGACGACTAAGTAATAAAATATGGGGGGTGCCATTTAAAAAAATGAAGTTATGGTGCTTCCAAATTTCGAAAAGTTAACGTATCATAGTAAAGTGACCAAACGATCTAGACAGCCGTTCTCGGCACCAAAACATACTCCATCATGTTGTTTAAGCATGTTCTGAATCCTAAATTGATATCTCAAAAATTGAGTGTTCTATGATTTTTTGAACAAATGTCCGCTGGAGCAAATTTTTCTAGAAAAATTCGAATAACTCGAGAATTGCTGGTTCAAATTGCAAAAAGTAAAGTTATTTATAAACCTTTAAAACAGACAAATCCAAATATGTAAAAATATACAGGGTGTTCCATTTAAAAAAATAAAGTAGGTGGCGACTTCCGGTATAACCGGAAGTGCTAGAAATCTGAAAATATTGTAGATGAAGAGAACGTAATTGATAATACTTAAGTCTGCATTCTCAAATTTTTTGTTTGGCCAGAACCCCAGAAACGTCTAATGACCGGTCTCGCTGAGACACCCTGTATATCATGAAATTATCATAACTATACTCATAGAAATTGATTCGTGACGTATTTTAAAATCTAATTGAAAAGAATTCTAATTCCAAAAAACTTTTATTTGAAACATTTCATATACAGTATGGTTTTAATAATATTAATTCTTCGAAATTAAAAATAATGTATTTCTTGATCGTTTTTCACAAAAATCACATTTCCTGGTAAATATCGCCAAAGCGTTTCGTGGAAATTAATAATTCAATCTGCGTGCGAATGAAAATTGAGAAAAACAGGGACGGACCGAGCCGTAAATATTTGCATTGGGATACGAGGTATATTTATAGAAGGTCTCGGCTCAAAGTTGGGCCGCAAACCATCCGTAATAATCTCATTCCGTACGCGACGCCCCTCGTTTTTCCATTCCGCCCACCCCACACGATATAATTCAACTTCGGTTATGACCGTGGGGCCTTTGGTGGTGGCGCCGCGACGCCTGCGTGGTTTATTTCAAGTTAAAAACTACCAATGTATTTGTATATCTATAGTTTTCCATTAAAACTTTATGAATAGTGTTCAAAAAAAATTTTAATTAAAAATATGGTACCAAAAACTAAAATTAATTAAAAAATATTGCATACGTTCAAAAATATCTTAGACATTTACTTTTAGGAGTTAAGAAATAATGTGTTTACTAGTTTGAAAAGAAATAAGTAATTCCTACGGTTATAAACATCAACATATTATTAATCGTTATAAAAAAACCTTTAATTTGAGTTCAAGATTCGCAATCTCCATTAAAAATCCTTTAAAATGAGTACAAACATGATATATCCAACATTAAAAATGGCTAAGATATGGTCAACTTCCGGTTATAAACGTCAACTTTAATTTTGTAATATTATTAATCTTTATAAAAAAACATTTAAATTGAGTCGAAACACGACAATATTATCTCTAAAAACAAGAAAGTTATAACAAAAAATTAATTCATTACTAACTTGAAGTTAGCAACATATCAAATATTAATAAATATTAATATCTCGCTTATTTTTTGAGATAACCCCATCGTGTTTAGTCTCATTTGAAAGGATTTTTTACGAGGATTACGAAAATCTCGATTAAATTAATATTAATTTTACAATCGCAAGTTGTATTAATTAGATTAAAAATTAAAAATAGATGTTCAATTTCTTTTAAGATTTTAACATCTTTAATTGTAAGAAATTGAAAGAGAAGAGATGGAGTTGGAGAGGAAAAACCTATAATTGTCCCGTTCTAATTAAAGAAGCACTTGAAACAGTATTCGGAGAGGTATTAATTAAAGGTACGCTTATACGCTTGAAATTATAATCAGTTGGGTTGGGTTCAATTCGGTGCTCCTTTTTCCACGACTGCTCCGGTTGCCATTAGGGAATGGCAGCATCGCGACGCCTCCGTTGGCGGTCGACGCCGCTACGAAAACCGACGAAACGTCCAGGTGAAAAAGGTGCAAGCTCGAACAAGCTTCGTTAACGCCGGTCGAGTATTTTGTTTCCTTTACTTTTATTTTCTCTTGCTTTCCTCTCGAAAATTCCGTTTCTAGAGAGAGGAGAAAATTTTTTATTGCTCTTATTAAGTGCAGATATTTTTATTTCTTATATTACCAAAAAATAAAAATACAACTATTCGCAGCGCCATCTACTTCGAAAAAGAATAAAAGTTAAAAACTGGGAAATCCCGCAATTTCTTTAAGAAAATTAGATTTTATCTAAAAACATAAAACTTTTGTGTTTTTTCGTAAAAGAGTTGGTTTGGAAAAAGTTATGACAAAACACAGGGTGACGCAAATAATTCGTCAAAATGATAAATGGATTTCGTCCTCTTTCTCTTTCCCGTAGTGGATTTTTTATTCTTTTTATTTCACTCCGGGTCCGTTATTAATAGTGCAGAGCCGGCTTTCGGAGGTTTACGTAGTTCTTTTTCGACGTCACTCCGCCCTCGATATTTATTCCCGTTTTGCCCACGTGATCGACAATCAGAATTGATTAGAATCGGTTTAAGCGGCCCTTTTGTCTTTTTATCCGTATCGCACGCTGGGTCCAGCCGTGATTTATAGTTACAAACCCTGTTGTTTACCATCGTTTCGGTTCGAAAAAATCAATTTAACAAATACAATTACCGATTCTAACCGGCGGGCGGGAAATATTTTTCTTCTTATAAAAATTCGCGCCGCGTTTCATACCCGCGATCATATTAACATCATAATGTAATTCTCTTGATGTGCCATTACGCGAAATTTCATTTCGAGTGTCGCGCGTGGAATTTTAAACACAGAGTTGGATCTCTTTTTAGGGGAGAGGAGGGCTGAGTTTTCGACAGTGCGGTAGTTCCGCCGACGCAATTTCGTCGCGTTCAAAATCGCTTTCGAATGGAGATTTATTTTAGACGAATAAAATAAAAAAAAACGAACAAACCGTCAAATATCCATCTTCGGGCACATTACGCATGCCGGGCTTGATTTTAATTTCGAACGAGTTCAAACAACAATAAATCCGACAGTAAACTCTCTGCCCAGCAATAAGATTTTGCAAGCCCGCGGCCGTTCCTTCACTTGAATACTAAATAACTCAA